TTTTTGGTACTTTTGGATGACCCTACTCTGTAAGTCTAACAAATACTGGATTATAGTATGTAGGAAAAAAATTATTTATTGCCTCTCATAAGTGACCTCATGATACAGGGGAAAGAGTGATGCCCAGTTGTCCTGGAATATATGCTGAGGGTTGTTTTGATTTTTTTGATTGTGAGGCTGTTAGCTGAACTTTGCTTGACAGTTTTTGGTAAGGATTTGTGTTCTGTGTTTTGGTTCATGTCTAGCGAAACCAGAAATGCATGCCACAGATATGGTTTGTTGCTCAGACAACAGGAGCAGAGTTTGCATGGATGAAATTGCTCAGTCAGATACTTTTTTTAAAGAGTGGGCTTTGTTAAAATCAGACTTCCTTTCATTAGAAAAATAAATCAGTGAAAGGGAGAGCTTAGCCATTTGAGCCTCAGCTCAAGACACTGGCACATTTGAGGGTTGTCTCTGTCACCCAGTTAAATGACCCAGGCAGATGTCCCAGCCTTGACCCACTTCTGGAGTGAGCCTGTAAATCAGGGGCCTGAAATCCTTTAGTGTCTGAGGAGTCTTTAATAAGGTTATCTGCACATTGCTGAAGAGGCATTTCTGCAATGTTTACCTGTCAGTCAGGAACTAAATAATTTTTTCAACTATTTTGTATGAGTCTCCTAAATAGACATCAGGTAACATCATTTTCTCATTGTAAGCTCAATGAAGAAGCTCAATACAAGAAGGCAATTGTTCCCTGTGTTACTGAGCTCACGAGTTTGCTTGTTCCCTGTCCTTTGCTCAGATAGCTAGAAGAGAATTGAGATGATTAGCTCAATTTTCTTGGTCACCTTAGTTTTCTTTTACAGTCAGTGAAGGAAAAGTTCTCAGACAAGATGAACTGCATCCTAAATGTCTTTTTCTCTCTCTTGTCTATAAAAGGAGCACAGGACAAATAGCTCAGGTGTGTGAGTCAGAGGCTGAGAGAGAGGAATCCTCCCGCACATGTCTGACCATTGTATGGGTCAGGCATCTAAACCTGGCAGTGTGGGCAGTATGCACCTGGGGAATCACAGCACACAATCCCTGCCTTAGCCTGCCTGCTCCGATCTCCTCTATGGTTGCAGTAGCTGCTGCAGGGTATCCGCTTATTGCGTAGATTTTAACTCCTCTAGATGCTTGAAAATATTACATACACTGTATATGTTTTATTTCAGTTACTTGCCACCACAAAATTCATAGTAAGTACCATTAATTTTTTTAATGCGTTTTTTAATTCACTCTCTGCAGTTCTCTTTATAAGCGTGATATAATATAGTGATACATGTAACATGCAAGACAGTTCCAGTTCTTTTGATCTCCCCATGCAGAGGCTGCTCTCTGCTACCGTTTTCACAGAATAGAAATCAATATCATAACTTGGCAACATATTATTTTATGTAAATTCCGTATAGCACCATTATCCACTTCACCTGCAAGGCAGAATACTGGCAGTCAGGAATAGATTTTTCTTCCATCTGATGACTTGTGAGATACTTATGCAAGTTTTACTGTAATCCCTAGGGTGTTCTGATTCTTGAGGAGAGCGAGCATATTTTCAGTGACGGTTTGCAAGCTTATTGTCCTCAGCATGGTGGGCTGATCTGCTCATCACAATTTATGAAACAGTGTTTCAGAGTGTAGGTGTGATCAATATCTGGTGTAAATTCATTCTTTTGAAATCTATTGGCCTGTGTCTGTTTATACCAGAAATTACCCAAATACTACTGCCAGTCCAACAACTGAAAGTGCAAAATGTTTTTGTTTCTGTTAAAAAGCAGTCAGGACAACCACCACCAAAAATGCAGAAAGTATGAAGTTAAACCTGAATCAGAGGGGAGGGGGCAGGAACTCAAGCTTTTGAATGTGAGGAAGACAAAAATAACTCTAGTTTGTCCTGTCTGATACAAGATTATCATCTTTGCGTTTAGCACACTGTAAACATTCATTATAGATACTGATTTTATGATACATTTCACATGGGTGTGACTCAGCCAGCAAGTATGAGGAGTTCTCTTGGTGTTGACCTTTCTAATATTTACATGAAAAAATGAGAGGTAATGATGTGCGACATACGTTGAGAAATGCTTCTGTGTCCCATACTTAGATAATTGGTCATTGCATCTCCTTTTGCTCCCAAACATCTGCACTTGCTACAGCTGTTCAGGTTGTATCTCCTCTTCTCCACATTGCCATCCTTGCACATGTAGAGGCAATGAAATCGAGGAGAGCAGGTGTCTTGGTCCAGCTTAGCCAATTATGAATTTATCCTCTTTCTTCTCAAAGTAAATCATATCGTCATGATGGTCACTTATTTTCTCTCCCAAACTCTGTGCATAGCAAAATAAAAACAAATCACCCCTTTCTGTCTGTAGTCAATGTCTTTGTGTAAAGTTTTTATTTGCATTGTGTAATGTATTTATTTGCATTTGACTCACTTCAGTTTTGCGGTGAATTTTTTTTTTTCTCATCAGTGATCCCTTTATTATTTTGAGGCTCTTTTTTTTTTTTCTTTTTTTTTTTTTTTTTTTTTTTTTTTTTTTTTTTTTTTTTTTTTTTTTCCATCCTAAGATTTGCTTAATAACTGTACTAAGATTTTTTTGAAAGAGCCTGTGGAATCTCATCCTTGGAGGTAGTACAGACCTGGACTAGATGTGGCCCAGAGCAGCCTGCTCAAATGGGTCTTGCACTCAGCAAATTGAGAGAGGCTGATCACAGACCGCCTGAAATCCCTTCCAACAGATTTATCTCTGCCAGTTATTTGAGCTCTTATTAAACTTGCTGTAGTCCTAGACTTTACCTTCGTCTTCAGACATTTAAGTCAAGACTAGAATCTGTTTGCCACAGGCACTATTCAGCACTGCTAACCCAAGCATGAAAAGAATTGCCATAATTGCCATAGATTTTAAAATGCTGCTTTCTTTTCAGACTTAAGAAGTCTAAGGAATTAAGATCTCTTTGAAAATATACAAACTTTCATTGCATTTGCAGGACCTGACATGTTCCATGTTTTTATCCCCCTAAGAGCCACCTGCCCAATAATAAGTAAATTACATTTCCCACTGGGGGTTGATGCTTTATATAAACTCCTAAAATCTACTGGTTGTGTGAGATATGTGTCTTATCTTCTGTTGGATGTTAGACTGCATTGTTACACACGTTTCTTTTTGCCTTCATATTTGCAGCTATGCTACTTTTAAAACTGCTAACAGCTTTTCAGATTTGCTAGCACTAAGACAAACTGATTTCATTCACTAGAAAAAAAATAGCTTATTTATTTGTTTGTTTATTTCAAATCTATCAAAAATGGGCATCTCTTTTGTTAGTAATCTGCTGTTATGCAGTTATAGTCTGATCTGATACAGCTAAATATTTCCAGACTTAATTTATCTGTCTTGAGAAGGTTAATCTTTGATAAAACAGGGAGAAGGGGATAATTTTTAAAGGTGAATTGAAATTACATGGTTGAATTTATAACAATTGCTACACAATAGCTATAACTGAGTATCTGACAAAACAAACAAGCATGCTCTACATAAATAAAGGGAGAACCAAAAAAAAATGACACAATAACAGATGCACTGCAGTGAATGAAAGAAATGTCCTTGTCAAAAGTAAGTAAAATACTTAGTACTGTAGAGTTCGATTTCTCCAAGGGGAGCACGCTGTGCACCTGCCCAAACAAAATGTGTGCCACATCCAGCACATACATTGGCAGGAGAATCAGTTGTTCTGACATATTTGTCCTGATAGTCAGTGGTTATTTTTAGTACAAAGGAAGAAAGTCATGCTTTGTGGTTAGCTGAGAACAGAGACTTCATGACTGTCAAAGGTTCACCTGGTTTGCAGAGCTGGCCAGAGTAAGGGACCACTGCAGCATTGAATACTGCCCTGTTGGCATCTCAGGAGGAGTTTGACCCCAGTTCTTTTGTTCAGCAGTTTATTCTGAAAAGTATTTGAGCTACATAAGGTAACAATCACCCTTCTGGTGGAGGGTCAGTGAGGGGACAGGTCAGGCACCTTGGCAGCCGGCTGCACAACCCGTTCAAGAGAGCAGCTCCAGGGTCAGGGCCAGGACTACTCAGTCCTGCTTCTGTCTGCAGGAGGGAGAGCGAATGCGAAGCAGTGAATACATTTGTGTTCAGGGAAATGTGTGGTATTGTCTCCTGTGGGTGCTTTTGAAATTTTTTACCTCTGGGGAAAGCAGTATTGTTTGTTTGATCAGTATTTTTATTGTAGTGTTCAACTTAACTGAATGGAAATCCATGCTCCCTTGTTAGCTACTGACATTTGCATCTCTTCCTTGTGCTTTGTCTTTTTTTCCATGCTGCTTTCCCTGTCTTTGAGTGTCTCATTTTTCTCAGTCCCTTCCTAGTTCTGTGCTAACAATTGCCTCCCACTATCCTATTTTTCCCATACATACTCAGGAATGAAAAAAACGTCAGGACTGACTACTGAGAGGCAAGATATAATGCTTCAGCTAGATTATCAGGGAAGGAAAATGCACCCACCTGTGAAGATTTGGAAAGAAAAAAGGTAGCCCAGTACAGCACATAAGGTTAGATAGATAGACTCCAAACCTTAATTTATGGTAGATGTCAGATCTTACACAGAAACGTATGAAACACTTGAAATTTAAGCCCCTCTCTGGAAAACTGATAAATTTAAAGTACAATAAATTATTAAGGGACAAAAAGTGGTTGAGGACCAGCTCTAGGTGTTTATTTCATGTGCGCAGTGTACCACGGGTATCTGTTTATAGACACCAATCATCAGCTTTTCTGTATCTTTGTTGTCATGCTCCTGTTTTTCCCAAAAGGTGATATTTTACAGCCATTTCCCCCCTCTAGGGTTGCTGATGGCAATAACTCAGCCTTTTTCCCATGCTCTGAAATGGGAGACTGGCTGTGACCAGGCAGTATGCATGCAGTCACTGTTTCAAATCTCACCTGTGGTTTCATTTTGTTTCTCTTTCCAATCAGAAAATGAAGAGTTTGGCCCAGAGACGCCAGTCTGCACCATCTTTGATCTTTGTCAAAGCACTTAGCAGATCTCGATCAGCCTCAAGGTAAGTCAGTGAGTTTTGCTTGCTGTACTGTTTTGTACTTTCTCAGCCCCAAACTTGAGATGTTTTTGAGTTATTGGCCACACCAGGCTGTCGAACACAATTCGTGCTGCTCGGTAGCTGCACAACCTTAAAGCCTGCTGAAAGATGTGACAGAGCTCTCCTGGGTTTCCGCAGTGCTGCCACACTAAGCTGTTTGTGCCCCGTTGGGTGGGCAAAGCTGCTCTGCAATTTGCAACTGGGCATGTGACATTTGGGCTGTTCAGCTGTAAATAGTTAGTGACTGGCTGTGACTGCCTCCTGGGGAGGTGGCACGGGCAGAAGATGTTCCCTGCTTTTTACCTTGTACGCTTATGCAGTGCCAGGCATAACTCAAGATTGTTTATTGTGGAGTTGTGCAGTTTAATTTGAGCTAAATTTCTTCTGTCATTGCCTCCTTCATGGTACAGGCTCTCCAGGGCTCTGGAAGCACCTGCTGACTCAGGACAATGTTGTGGGCAAGGATCTGGCGATCAAGCCTTCTCCTGTCCAGTATTAGCAGTTGTGGGGCTGAGTATGTGGGTGTTAACCATTCAGCATTTTTTGTCCTTGTCCTCTGCCAGAATCAGCTATTCCTCCTACCTCCACCAATGTAAAGCTGCCATAGAAATGGGAGTTTCTATGGAGCAAGTCCCCTGTCCAGCCCCAGCCCTGACCTGCCATTTGAACCACTCTGCACACATAACTTTTGTCTCCCTGCACTACAGTTCATTAGACTTTCAACTTACAAAATGTGTTTATCGAGAAGTGAACCATCTGGCGGGCTGTTAATGCTTCCAGCTGTGTATTGCTCTTTATGAAGAAATGATATTGAGGGAAATTAGAGTATGGCTTTGTAAGGAATATTTTTTCCTACTCTGTGGTGTGTTAAGTAGTCAGTATGGAAGAAGTCAGAGCTTTGGAAAGTTTTTTGTGTTTGATCTAACTAGTACCTGGTTTGATATCATGTAGGACTCCACAGTATTTCAGAAACCTGTGAAAGTACTCTGTGAAAAAAATAAGGGTTGCAAAATAGGAGAGGCAAATTTCATTTGCCTGCTGGGGTTCAGACATTAACATTTTTCTTCAGTTCTGCTTTTTAATTTGTTTTATTGCCTGCTCCATAAGTATCAGAAATTGGAAATATCTGGAGAGACATCGAGTGTGACACACACCTAATATGTATGTTTTCACCTAAGAACTTTATGCTTTCTGAAGTGTAAATATGTCTTGCATGTATAGCCCCGATCAAAATTATTTCTGGCTTGTGAAAGGACTTTTTTTGTAAGGCCAGTTGGCAAAAACTTTGTGGTGAAGAGGACTGAAGAGGGGGACACGTTGCCTTGTTCTGCAGTAAGAGCAATGCTTTGCCTACCTGACCGACCCTGCTGTTTTAACAACTGATGGATCCTGCCTCAATCATGTCTGTCCTCTGTCTGTGACATGCAACCATTTAGCTGCTCCTGCTGCTTTGAATTGAAGTCTGTGGCCTTTGTGAGAGGTATGGGGTGAAGTCTGAGGATCCTGAAATCAGAGCAGGTGATTTTGTAGCTTCAGAGTCTTTGAGTTAAAGGGTGACACTTTGGATGGTGTTTATTATTGTTCACAGGAGCAGCAATTCTCACCTGTGCCTGACTTCCCTCTTTGGCTCTACAAAGCACATTCCTCTTCATCACTGAACTGATGGATGAGTTTGATCTTTCCACTCAGTTTGTTGTGTAAATGCTTAACTCTTGTGAAGTGCTTTCTCTGAAGGAGAGCTGAAGAGCAACAAAATGACGTCTCATGTTTTCTAATCTCCTCCAAATGTTTTACCTCAGACCTGTCTCAGCTCTTAGTTCTCCTTCTGGTAGACACAGCCAGTCTGCAAAATCCATTATTCTTCTCTGGCAGTGAACCTTAATACTGGGACTCCATAACACTTACTTGTTAATGGTTGATTAATGACTTGTAGATAATAAAGCTCCTATCTGAAGTTAACAAACATCTGTGAGGGATTTATTTGAATGCTCTCACCTCAGCAGCTGGCTCACCTCAATATTTGTTGAAATTAATGAACAAGTGCAAAGTTTAAAAGGGCAGGAAATACTTAGAAGCCAAGTCAGTTTGTATTTTTATACCACTTTATATGTCAGGTGTCCCTAGTTTATATACAGAGCATTTTCATAAAATGTATTGGCACCTACTTTGGACAGACTTACTTTGGGGCGTTTTAAAGTTTATTAATGCTGTTTATTCAAAGAAACCATTGTGACATCTGGAGATGGCTATTTAGCTTTCAGAGGATTAAGGTTTTTTAGTGGTGATGCCGTCGTAGCTGTCAATGAGGATGTGACCAAGGCAAGATGATCTAGCTGGAAATAGCAGATGCTTGTTTTGTGCCTTTGTCCTCTTATCCAGTTCTGAAAGAGAACTGTGCTTAAAATCTTGTATTTTTTTTCTCCAGCTATAGCATTTGGTTTAGTGAAAGTTCAGCCTTCCTTACAAATCTTGGCCTTGCAATGTCAGCCGTATCAAGAGAGATAGAAGATATTTGGCCTGCAGAAGAATTGTGGGTGTGGCTGTGCGGCACATTGATGCACAGGTGTCCAATCATGTTGTAATTCCTACATCACTTGACTTGTACCTGCAGGCAGCAGAGGAACATAGTAAATAGTACAGATATTATAGTGGATATATATTTTCACCAAGAGGTGAAAATACAGAGACTATTCCATTGCTTCCTGTTCTTGTTTCTCTTCCTTTTTTTCTGCACAGCTTCTTTTTCATCACAAAATAGTGATGAATAGGCACGTAAGGACTGTTCCACATCATCAGATGTCCTCTTTGGAAGCACTCTGAGCAAAGTTATTGTAGAAATACACTGGAAAAGTAAGCTTTTGTTATTTTTTTTGGCTGATACTCAGATACAGGAAAAATTAATTTGATTGTTAACTCCATTAATGTGTATGAAATCAGCAAAGGATTTGGGTTAGTTATACTTGGCCCTAGACCTGTTCTGCAGTTGTAATTTTCCTCTTACTTTTTCTTGGTGTCCTTTAATGAAACCTGCACAACTTAATGATATGGTTCAGTGCAAAACAAATGACAGGCTTGAAATAGAAATGTCTGAGGCCTCCATTTAAAGCATCAGGTATTGTCATCTCGCTGATACAGGATAATAAAGTAGTTGATACAGAATAATAAAGACTTGTTTCAAGTCAGATTTTCAGCCTTTGTTCTGCTGTCCCTCAAAACAATTTTCACTTGTGACAAAACCCAAGTTTTTGGGCTGTATTGTCCGACTTCTGCTTGCATCTCAGATATTTCACAGGGATAGCCAAACTATGTGCTGCAGTCACTGGCAGCTTCCCCTTTCCTATTGCACACTTGACCAGATCATTGAAAGTGATATTTTTACATGCTGAAACTTATTAATATAATTTCACAATTTCTGAATCTGCATGACCATTTAGAGATCTGTGTCTCCACACAGTAAAGGTGTTAAAATACTAAAAATGAAACAACTCTTTTTTTGCACCATGAAGCATGTTTATGATGTCAATTTGGTGTAAGCTGGAAGCAGGGGCTGTTAAAAAAAAACACTGAAGTATATTTTTTAAAAGGTTTTATGAACAAATTTCTAAAGAACCCTAAAACGAAGGTCCTAAAATGTCATCCCTACCCAATTTTATTGTGTGGCTTTTATGGTTGAAAAAGTAGAAGGTACAAACTGAAGATTTCAAAAGTTTCCAAGGTGTTTTCTGCCCTTTGCTACATAGAAGCGGTGTTATGCCATTCACGGAGACACTGCTCTTCCTTCTCCCAGTGCACAGTAAGTGATTCTGGCATGTTGTCTTCCAGGGATCCTGTGCCAAAGGCTAAATATCCCAGATAACGAAGATCATATGTGTAATCTAGTAATACATTCCACTTGGCGCTAGTCAAATACAGAGTGTTCCCAGAGTCTCGGACATTGTGTTTTCAGGGTTTTAGTCAGAAGATACGTGGATGATCCAAGCTATGTGACTAGAAGAAGACAAAAATAGAGACTTTTAATAAATGTAAATTGCCAGAGGGCTTTAACTGTCTCTTTTTTACAGGGAAGATGGCTATTTGGTATTTCAGGCAAAACTGATTGCAGGGAGGAAGGGAATAAAAGCTCATTGCAAACAGCTAGCTTGTTAAGTAGGTATTTCAGTTGTAACTCTTTTGCTCGTTCTTCGGTCACGTCCGCGACAGTGAGTAATTTTGCCTCACGGTGCAATCTCCGCGGGGTGTGTTTGTTTGGTGAAGCTGAGCACCGGCGCAGTGCGGCACGGAGGGGCGGACAAGGAGCGCACCCCTCTGTGCCTCGCGCCACAACCGTTTTTACCGGCCCGGCCAGGACCAGGCCTTCATGAGGAAGAGGCTCACCCCCCAGTTCCCTTGTCTGTCCATGCTGAGGTGGGTGTTGCTCTCCCGCAGCCCCACAGGCACCATGGCAGAGTTTGTCGGAGCGAGATCAGAATCAGCATGAATGGCTGAGGCCGCCTCGCTCTCTGCCAGGGGCCCCACCTGCCCGCCAGGCGGAGGAGTGACACCCTTGGCCAGGGCTGCCACAGCTGGGCCAGCCGATGGAGCCACTGCTGGTGGCTCAAAGGGCATGGCTTAGGGTCACCCTGCTGCTGGGCACAGCCCTGGGATGGTGCGGGACGGGTGACGCCTCGTGGCTGATTTGGAGGGGCTCTGAGGGACAAAGGCGCTGTGTGTGTGCCGGTGTCCCTGTGTGGCAGTTTCCGTGTGTGCCGTACAGGTGTGATCAGTGGGGGTTTGCCTCCGGAGCAGCCAGCAGCAGCAAGGGGTGGGCTCAGAACCAAGAGTGGGAGTTAGCATGGACAGGTGCCATCCCAGCCTGCTCCCATTCCAAATGCAGAGGCCACAGTTTGGGTGGGAGGGGGTTCCCTTGAAGCTGCAGAAGAGAGGTGAGCGGAGAAGCCAATGGGATAAAACGTTCACTTTACACT